AGGCTGGCAGCTTTACCATGAATGAAACTGCTGTCGATGTCTTCCTAATTTGTTGATATCCAAGGTATCCACCGATTCCAAAAAGCAGAAACCCTGTATCATATATCCAATAATGTACGCATCTTATACATCCTCCAGGAACAGCACAGATAGGCACACTATCTTCCATTCGCTCCAGAAATCAGTGACATACCGAGCTGCAAGGGTCTGTTCAGTGCATGAGGACTCTCCAGCACCCTGTTGTCTGGTAGACAAATTTTATCAATTGCGTTGAGGGACCAGCTGACCAAATCCACAATCATTTTCTATTCATAAGATGTGTAGAGGTTCCGAAGTTGACAGGATAAGAGAGCAAAAAAGCAGGAGGGAGGGTAAGAGCAACCATCTTTGTTGAAGGTAAAAGAGGATGAATAATCTGATAATCTGATTATATATAAATAATCTGAATTGAATTGAATTTTCCCAACTACAGCAAAACTTTTGTATAATGTATTACTTCAATGAGAAGACAAGGCTGATGAACAATAACATTGCCTTGAATAGAACAGGGGCAGAGCAGGGCGCCCCGGTTCAAATCCCAGCCAGGGACCTGTCTGCGTAGAGTTTGCATGCTCTCCCTGTGCATGTGTGGGTTTTTCCCAGGTACTCTGGTTCCCTCCCACAGACCAAAAACATGCACGATAGGCTGATTGATAACTCTAAATTGTCCCTAGGTGTGAGCAAGAGTGAATGGTTGTTTGTCTCTATGTGTCCCTGTGATGGACTGGAGACCTGTTGCCTCTCACACAGGGATGACTGGACATAGGCACCAGTGATCCCCATGACCCAAAAAGGAAGAAGATGGTAGAGATAATGGATGGATGAATGGATGGATGAATAGAACAGAGCAACATTCCCAATTATTACACAGTATAATCTAAGGCCAATAAGGTTTTTATCACTCAACTGAACTGTCAACATTACTAAAACAAATGTTGCAGCAAAACATTAACAATATGCTTCAGGTATACATTTAAAAAAAAAACATTAGAAATGAGAATAATTTAAAAATGCCTCCTTCAAATCCTACATTTCCTGTTTCTGGTGTATTATTGTGGCAGCATCATGCCATATACAGTTTGTGCATAACCACTGCCGTATTTGGGTTTTCCTTTGAGTTTCCCTGTGGATGAAAACATTTCTAGAAACGGTGCTGTTCAAGGAAAAATCAGTTAACATAACATTCCGTGTGGATGTTGCTTTATTTTTGGAAGCTAATGATGAGTTAGGATCAGAGACCATCACATCTCGAGGGCACATACAGTTAAATGATCTCACTATACGTGACCCGAACTGAGGAAATTCACAAAATACACAGACAGACAATAACTGCTTTTATTAAGCAAACACATTCCATCCTGCACTTAATGTGCATGAGTAACTAAATATCAAACACAGCTGCATTTAGACAGAATAAGCTTCCTTTTAGACAGCGCTCTGGGGTTGTTTCGACACATTCTGCCTGGCCTGGCCTGTCTTTTTGTGTGACGTCTTTTTCTCAGCACAACTGGCCTTCTCTTTCTGTAATCCTTAGGTACATTGGCCTTAGGGTGTGGACAAACAGCACAGCAGATAATAGGAAAAGGACAGGACCTGTAGAGGCTTGTAGTTTCAGAGCTAATGCTATGCTCATGGTGCCTGAACATCAAAGTCCTCTGCCAGTCATTTAGCTGTAACTGTCATCAATGAACACACACAAGGGCTTTCAGGCACTTTAGTCAAGATTTTTACTCTTCCTTAAGACATACATTTAGACTTTTCTTATAAACATCTCAGAGGTTTTCCAGAATAACTTAATTTTCCACCCTGCTTTCTCCAAAGCACACCCATTTGCTCTGCTCAGACTTGTACTGGGAGAAATTCTTCTGCATCTCTCCCTTTAATAATCTAAACTCTAATCATTATATACAGCAGCCCTGCATCAAAAAGCAGCAAATATAATTCAGCTGGATTCTACTGTAACAGTTTGCTTGAAAAAATAAATAAAAGCTTGTTCATCTAGATGCCTTACAACCACTAAAGGAGATTTTAATGAAAACATACATCAATCTAAAGAGATTATGTCACCAGCATTTATGTTCAAACATTATGTGAAACTGACCGATGACACACCCACCAATCTGATTCAATCATTCATGACACAGGAAATATTATAAATCTCCATGCAATTATGGTAAGTCATAAAACAGCTTCTACTACATGTGGTGCATACTAGCTTATTGGTCATTATGATGGTAAATGAACTGTACTTATATAGCACCTTTCTGTCGTATCAAGATACTCAAAGTGCTTTTTGACACAAATGGTGCCCTCATTTACCCATTCATACAGCACTCTACTATGTCTCTACTAAGATTAATCAGTGCTTTATCACATTCATACACGAATGGGACATGCATCGGAGGCAATGAGGGGTTCAGTGTTTTGCCCAAGGCCACTTCAGCGTGTGATTACTGGTGGAATTGACCCCGCAACTCTCCCATTGATGGATCACTGCTCTAATCACTCAGCCACAGCTGTCCCACTGGTTGGTACCAGTAGGGATATTTAGCAGTGCTGGATACACATCTTCAGAGGGTACTTTGTCTTAGTTTTGGCAAGGGGTTCAGATTTTTAGTGTCTAGCTTGGTGACATTTTTCATTTTCATGTCAGCAAGCAAGGTGTAAAGCATACATGTATAACCAAATGGCTGGAATAGTACACAACAACATCTGTGCTAAAAACTGACTGGAGATCACACAAAGTGGAAGACTCCACCAAGGGTGATGGAGATGGTGGTGGCAGGGCTAAGAGACAGTGGGACTTCTAGATCTAGACTGACAAACAGGTGATGGCTAAATAACCAGATACTGTGGTGGTCAACAAACTAAAGAAGAAGACTGTGGGGATGCACATGTAGCAATTCCAAAAAATTGTAACACCAGGAAGGATGAGCACAAGAAACCTGATAAATACCAAGGGCTCAAAGAAGAAATAGAAAAAAAGTCAAGGTATCAGCTGTGCCAGTAGTCAGAGCACTCTGTGCTGTGAACCCTAAGCTGGAAGAGTAGCTCCAACTGGTCCCAAGGAGAACCTCAGAGATTTGTCTTCAGCAGAGCACAGTTCTTGGGTGTTTTCACACCTGATAGTCTGGTAGACTCTGTTTGATTGGGGACCAAAATACAGAACATTTGTTTACATTTTCAGCTGGTGCGGTTTGCATTCACATTGCACTGAGTCAATTGAGCCAACCTGGTCCCCCCTCTCACCTGTGGTAACGTTGCACCAAGAACTACTGAAGGAAACAAAAAAACAAACCAAAAAAAAAAAACTCTGAAGAAGACACTTTTTCTTCTTCTTCTGGAAATAAACACAAAAACTGAAGTGGCATCAAATTTTAGCAGTTTTAGGATTTCTGTTTTGTCATTTTTCAACAATGGACTCAGCATGAGTGGAAGATGAGACAGAAGACCATGGAGAATGTTGTTTTTCACACAAGGCAGCTGAGACGGCGCCGTATGAGGTAAGAGAAATGCGTGTTTGTTTTGGTTGTAATGCCCTGCGCTGTAGTCCACTTCCTGCTTTTGGAGCGGTCTCCGGTCCGCTTGCATTCAAAATGCATTCGAACCGCATTAGAGTTCGCTTCAACTGAACCGAGACCTAGGTTTTTAGGCGGAGCAGAGTTCGCTCCTTTGGCCCATATCAGAGTTCAATTGCACATTCGCACCTCCCCAAATGAACCGAACTTTCTAGGTGAATAGACTAGAGTTCGATTGAAGTGGACTAAACTGGGCTGGTGTGAGTGCACCCTAAGATAAAGCAAATAACCCTCACGCTTCCAGACATCTGGTAGAAAACCCAAGTATGTAAAGTAGTGGAACCACCTACGTGGAAAAATTGGGCGAGCTGTTTTTTATTTTATTTTTTTTCTTATAACAATATGTAACAGCAAAATGTTTTGGCATAAACAAACTTTCTGTTTTTTGTTTGTAATTGTCTGAGCAGATTACGTACATTAGCATCACGTTTTGTAAGAGGATTACAGATTAGTCTTATTGGCCAATAAACAAGTATTAAAACTGTTAATAAGTTCCCTGCATTTGGCTTTGATGTCTCCAGTCTACACCAGCTGGCCTAAAGATATCGTTAATAAAACACGTACATCTTTCTAAAAAAAAAAAATTAAAGAGTCGAAAAACACAAGCACACAAATCCCAGAGGTTTTTTTTTTTCTCTGGTCAAAGAAAAGCTAACAGAAGCATGTTTTCTCAGCCCAAACTGAACAGCTTCATCCACGACACAAATTTTTATGTGTGCTTTAAAAAGCTGCCATCTGATTTAACTTTTGGTTTTGATTGTGTTTGTTTAGGTCTGATATGAATCTAGTCTCCATATTACAGATGCAAATTTGTAAATAATGCATCCACCGTGTAATGGAGCTAAACATGGGCAGCTGTGGCTGAGTGGTTAGAGCAGTCGTTCTCAGAGAGAGTTGGGAACCTTGCATTGCCTATGACGTATGTCCCATTGGTGTATGAATGTGATCTCAAGCACTGATTAGTCTTTTAGAGCTCTAGTAGAGTGCTGTAGGAATGCATGTGTGGAGGTAAGTGAGGGCACAGATTGTGTTGTAAAGAGCTTTGAGTATCTTGATTAGATAGAAAGGTGCTATATAAGTACAGTCCATTTACCATACACTAAATCCTTAAAATCAACATATTTTGGTCCATGGACATTTTTGTGTGTCTCTTGTTTTGAGTTAATATTAGGTTGCCAGTTTGTAAGGTTGATTTACTCTCAAAGATGTAAGGTCTTGGCTGCAAACTGTAACAATCCAGTTGGCATAATCATTAATGTCAAAACATCCTCTCAGCGAAACAAAGAATGCTGTTGTGCAAGCAGGTACCCCATGTTTCTGTGTAACTGTTTTAGAAAGAACAATTAATTATTTAAACAATGTAGTTGTAAAATGTGTTTTTACCTGTTTTTGGATCCACGTTGAATAACGTCCTTTGAGATTCCTGCATCTGGAAGGAAAGCTTCCCCTCAGAGGACGTGTCCACGTCTGAGGCAAACACTTGGATGACAGAGTTTACTTTATCCACGTTCTCTTGGACTGATGCAAAATACACCAGCTGGGAAAGCTCCGGAGCGTTGTCATTCACATCCAGGACCTCCAGGAAGACATGAGTCCAAGAGATCAGAGGCTCAGTCCCCAAATCGGTGGCGTAGACAGAAAGCCAGTAGTGCGGTACCATCTCTCGGTCCAGCGTTTTTGCTGTACGAATAACACCTGACAAACATGAAAAAAATACACATTTTACACGAGATACAATAAATAAATATCACCCAATTGCCTGTTTTCACATGTATTTTGTTTGTACATTTGTTTATTAGTAAAATATTTCATAAACCACATGATAGATTTTAATGAAACTGTCAGTAAGTACATACATCTCCAATTCATTAGCTTTAGGAGCCAAACTGATTCAAGATGGCTGACAAAGCTGTTTGACTCTAACACAATACTGGCTACAACTTGGTCAATTTTACAGACAATGAAGAAAAATTGTATGTGGCAGTAGCCATGAGTCATCCCTAAATCCATAGTCTGATTACTCTGACAAACTGCTCAAGACCTTTGTTTAACTCTCCTGCTGCCCTTAGGTCAAAATTATTCACGGGGCCTCCATTTCTTGTGGATCTCTTTGACCAAAGAGAGAAGTTTGGCGTGCAAGGTTGCAGATAATATGCAGTTCTTCAGTTTCTTACTTTAATATATAATGTTGATAACTATAATGCAAATTAAAACCACTTTTGTCTAGCTATGCATTTTCTATTAGATCTGAAGCTGTCGACTTTGACCTCTAAGGGATTTTAAACAATTGTTAAGTTCAATGCAATAATCAATGCAGACGTGTTCCTGTTTTTAGTACTTTACCTCGTTTCATAATGAATCTTGATTTTATTTTGTTTTATATCACTACTTTTATTTACTTTCATTTTATATACATTTTACTGCTGTTTGTTGTTGTTGTGTACCTTGTCTGTGGTTTGTCTAAAACAGGTCTCTTTTGAAAATGAATCGTCGTCACTCAATGAGACTAACCTGTATAAATAAAGGTTGAATGAAAAAATAAATAAAAAAAATACCAGTTGGACTCAAACTATTGAACAAGAAATCTAACAAGTCCCTGCTCAGCAACGAGGAGGACAAATCTGGCAGAGACGAAAGAAGAGTTGTAAAGAAAGAAAAACAACTTTTCAGCTCACACTTGTCTTTAAAAGCAGTTTAGGTTTAATCCCCCTGAGGGAGAATTCAAAAATCAGTAGCGCAAAGAAGAGGCTATATTTCAGCACGGTTCCACCATGACAGAGAACTCTATTTGCTCAGATTTTATCTGAGCTTTAAGTGCAGCAGCAGGGTAATGGAATGCAGGACAGTATGTTGCGGGGTCGTGGGGATCCTCCACAAACAATATGGAAAAATAACTCAACCCCCACCCAAGAGAAACCATGAAAGTGTCTCCTCTTGTAACGACAGACATGAGGAAATATCGTGCTGGAAAAATACCTTAAAGTCCTCTGAGTCTGTTAAAGTTCAAGAATAAATATTTACTGTGCAAAATAACATAAAAAATGCGTAACTCATTTTAAATTTCAATATTACAGTAGTTTATGCATGATTTTGACCTTTGACTCTGTGGTGAACTAATACTGATAAATGTGTCCATATTTCACCCCTGAAAGAGCTGCCACAAAAACATCCTCAGTGAAAGCTCCATTTAGAAACTCTTCTGGGAATTTAATCAGATCACATGATCTGTGTCAAGACAAGCAGCGACCTGGAGCTCCACGGGCAGGTAAACTTCCACATAAATTCTCACCTGAAACTGAAGTGTGGCTTCTACTTGTTGACTTCTCAATGAGTCATGTGTATCATGTTTGTGAGCAAGATTAACTGTTAATCATCACGATACGCATTTTTTTTAAAATAACTGCATTGACTGATCAGAGAGGGAGGAAACAAAATCAATCTTGTGTAGAGCTTCTTCGTTTTTCATTGAAAAAGCAGTTTACTTTAAAAAGTTTTGTGAATAAACATTTCACCGTCATATTTTTAAGTAATTTCATGATCATCTTGAAATATATTAACTCTATCTATTAGGGGTGCATCGATAAATCAGCCCCAATTTCCTTAGTTTTGGGAAATCGGAAATCAGCCGATACTTGCACGAGAAACCGATTTTACCCTTTTTTTTGTTTGTTTTAACAACAATTGTCTGAACTTCATTTATATTTCAGAGCACTACCTCATGGCCAGTTAAAACAAGTTCATATTGTTTCTAGGATATTTTTCAAGGGTATGTTTTTCAATAAAATAATACTGGAAAATTGAAGGTGCATTGTAACTATATAACACCTGACAGTGTCACTTATAAAACAAAATCGGAATCGGCAGGTCAGACTTTGTAGAAATCGGTGATCGGACAGAAAATTGCCTTCGGTGCACACCTACTAACTACTGTATGTATCTCTTTTTCTATGAAGATGAGTAAATTGAAAGTAGATATTTATGCAGATATAATTGTATATTTACAAGCTGAACACAACTGACTCAGCAGCTGTTAAATCCATCTGTCCTTCCGTCAGTCCAAGAGGTTGGCGCAGTGTGCCACCAACCGCCGAGCCGCCATGCTTGCGTAATGAATAGGAGATAGAAATAATGCCATCTTTCACAGACTGACAAGATTTTTGTCAGATGTTGGGGATCCAGGACATTCTGATCACTGTCATCTTTAACCAGAAAAAATCACATTGAGATCAAGATCTCTTTTCCAAAGGTGACCTGGCCAAGAGGTCAGCAACGCATGTCATAAAACAATAAAACAAGTGAAGATAAGAGATAAAACAGTGTTATATCCACTTAAACAGATTTGGTTTTGAAAGTGTAAAGCAATGCATATTAATGATGTTAAAAGTGACTAAATCACAATGGTTAAGAAAACACAATAAACACAGACAACAACAATAAAAACCAGGCAGTGGTTAAAATACAGAGAATGAGTAAACAGATGCGTATGTATTATATACATGCATATTTAAATATACGGTAAATGTCTGTATGTATACTTATGTATGTATGTATATGGACAGTAGATATGTAGACTGCTGAGTCTATGAGTAGGGTAAGGAAGTATTAGCCTTGGCTTAAGTCTATTCCTTTTTTGGTAATTGATTGATTTACCATTTTATATTGTTTTCCTTTTTTGCAATAATTTTAATTTACCAAAATAAAGTTGAGTTGAGATAAAAGCGTTGTTCAAAGGTCTTAGTAAGACTATCATTTAGCACTGAACTGAAGGCTCTAAAAGATATCAGTCCTGGCAGTTTCAGATTGGTCTGAGGGGAGTTTCATGCCGAGGGTGCAACAAAGCTGAACACTCTTTTTCCCTAATTCAGCTGTGACATGAACGGACAAAAGGACAATTTTGTCGGAATGTAAGGCATAGCGACGGTTAGTCCTTTGAAGAAAGGTGCCTAAATAAGATGTGACTAAAGGGCCTTGTAGATTACAGTTATCCATTGTGTGTACACCTGTGTGTAGCAAGAGACCAGCCAGATTTAGTATACAGCTCACAGTGATGAGTGAGGTGACTGTAACCAGTGATGAACCTCAGAGCACAAACTGTGGCAGAGCCCGAGTCCTGCAGATATTTGGATGGGTTACTCATGCACATCACCACAGTCCAGAAACAGCACACATGTAGCAGCTACTAAGGTGTTCCTTACTCTCCATGAAAAAACAAAAAAAATAATTTTATTTATAAAATAAAAACCCAGCTTCAGCTTGAGTTTAGTAGGCAGATTAGCAATGGAAGCTTTAAATGGGAGCTCACAATCATGAAAATTTCCCAAGTATTTGTAACTTGAGACTAGTTGTGTTTTCCCTGTGGGGTTATAATTGGTGGGATGTTTCCTGGTTGCTTTCTTTTGCTAGAAAACACCATGAGCTTGGTTTCGTCTTCGACTGAAACCAGTTAAAATTTTAGCAGGCAAGACCGACTAACATTAAAAGTGTCCTGTAAAAAACTTAAAAGCTTGAAAAAGTGAGGATGAGCAGCAATAAATATTGGTGCCATCTACATTAAAAAAATATAGGAAACATCTAACAAAGTTACACGGATCATTGATATGAATTGAAAATAAAAGTGGACCCAAAACTGAACCTTGGGGCACCCCTTGGACAAAATCTATGAAGTTAAGAAGTGGATTGCGCCACCCTGAACACTTTATGTTCTGTTGGTCAGAGAATTTGCAAACCAGTTTTGATAAACCAAGATAGGATATTTATCAGTAGATCGTGATCAACCATGTGAAACGCTTTGAGTAAATCAATAAAAAGCACCACAATATTTTTTACACTCCAGAGCCTTTATAAGATCATTTCAAACGTTTTGTGTTGCAACAGTACTGTGCTGTTTTCTAAAATCTGACTGAAATGTTGATCAAATGTTATTCAGTCATTTAATTGATTACAGACAAGCTTTTCAAACAGTTTAATTAAGATGCATAATTTCAAAATTGGTCTGTAGTTGTTTAGATAATTCAACGCCCCCCTACAAAAAAGAGAACATTAGCCGATTTTCCAGACTTTAGGTATTTTATTGGTGTTGAGACTCAGATTATAGGCTCAGTAAGAAAAAATGGTTCAACTGTATCAGGCTCTGCTGTTTACATGTGTCAACCCTCTTTAGAGCATTCTGAACCTTGAATGCAGACACAAACTCAAAAGACCAGGTTACACGTTAGATCACCGCCCATGAAGTTCAGAATGAGTTTGCGCATGCTAAGTCAGTATCTGCCAGATCAGGATGCAAAGATTCAAACAAGGAACTGGCAGATCATTAAGTATTAATGATATCTCAGATGGGATTCGAGACTTTGTAATTAATGAGCTGGGCAAGTAATTTGTTGCTACTGTATGGCTCGAAGATGACGTTAGTATTTGCTAAAACCTATTAGGGTCATTTAAATTTTTGAAAGATTCAGTCAAGTAATAGACTTAGGTCTCCTAAAACATATTTATTCCTTTTAAGATATTAGGTTTAGACTTCAGCCGTTTAGTATTTCTTATGGCTGATGAGAAATTAGCAACTGGAACAAGACATTCATGGATTTATGACTGTTGAAACATAACTTTATGTGAGCAAGCACTGATGATAAATGTGAAAACTATGGAATCTTCTATAACTAATACTGAGACTGACAGTTCTTAAAAAAACATAATTTTAACAAGACATACAAGATCAAATTGGCTTGCTTTGTTTAACAGTTATATCACTAGGATATGATAATTTGCATACTATTATTAATGAAGTAAATAATAAATAAACGTGAAGGTATATTTTATATTATTTTAAGACTAAATCAATAAAGTTGCTTAATGTTTGGATACTTTTCTTGTCAATGAAGAGACTTCTAAATCTGGTCGAACATTTTTTTTTTTTTTCAAAAACAATTATTACATTTTGCAGTTTTGCAGGCTGAAACTAACCTGGATGCATTTGATATTATAATAATTTAGTTTGAATATACAATTTTTTTTTTACTATTCACTAAAAATATGAGAAAAAAAAACAACATTTTACCTGTTTCTTCATCAATGGAGAACACTCCAAGACCAGAGCCATCACTGATGTGGTATCTGACAACTCCATCTCTGCCCAGGTCCTTGTCTGAAGCTGTGAGTGTCACAATGGACGTTCCCACAGCTGCATCCTCCATCACTCCAGCCTCATACACAAACTCTGTAAAAACTGGTCTGTGTAGGTTCTCGTTGACATCCAAAACCTCAATCTCCACAAAGCAGGATGATGAGAGAGAGCGGGGAAGGCCATGGTCTACAGCTCTAACGGTGAGGTTGTAAGCTGGTCGTCTCTCAAAGTCCAGCTCTCGCTCAAGGGTCAAAGCTCCAGTGGAGGAATCCAGATGAAAGATCCCACCCTCTGTGTTCTTAAGGTTGTATGTGACAAGGCCTCCACTACCCAAGTCTAAGTCTATGCTCTCCACCCAGACAAGCAGAGTTCCCAAAGGAACATCTTCTGGGACTTTTATGTGGTACACTTTAGGTTCAAATTTAGGTGGGTTGTCATTTATGTCTTGCAAAATCACCAGCAGATGGACAATGGAGAACAACTGAGGGTCGTGCTTGGCCTGGTCCGTTGCTTTGATCCAGAGGTCCTGCCGGGCAAAGTTTTCTCGATCCAGATGACCTGTCACAATCACCTCCCCAGTCAGCTCATCGATGCTGAACATGTCATCAGATGTCAACAGAGAATAGTGCACATTTCCATTCATGCCTGTGTCTATATCTACCGCTCGAGCTGTAAAGATGACGGTGTCTTCCTCTGTGTTTTCAGGCACACGGATGACATACCTAGACTGATCAAACACAGGAGGGTTGTCGTTGACATCAACGACATTAACATCTATAAACTTCCATGCAGATGCTTGTGGCAGCCCCAAGTCATAAACTGTGATGTTCAGAATGTACACATCTTTCCTCTCTCTGTCCAAAGTGCAAACTAAATAAAGTTCCCCAGAAAAAGTGTCAATAGAAAAACAGCCATCTTCATTCCCACTTGATATGGCAAACACCAGTTTACCATTAAACCCAGAGTCATTGTCTGTGGCCTTTAGCTGAAGAATGGTGGAATTTAGTGGATGGTTCTCAGCAACATCAATAGAACTGGGAATGCTCGTAACAAATTTTGGGGAATGTCTGTTAGTGATGTGGATATCTGAGAACAACTCTTCCTCCTGATTAATTAAAATGGGCTTTATTGACTCTATCAGTTTATCAGTCAGCTGTTTAAAAATGCCTGTTTCAAAGCAGCGGGTTGTTGCATCGTCACCTTTGTTTGTAACAGTTATCCTGACAAGTGAAGCTTCAGAGTGATGTTTGCCATCATTGGCTACAACTCTCAAAGTAAATGAGCCCTCATGTGCAGGAACTGGCTGTTTAAGAGTGATAGCCCCAGTAACAGCATTGATGACAAAAATCTGGAGCTCGTTTCCTGATTCGATAACGTACCGCAACTGCTGCAACTCATCTATGTCAATAGCTGACAGCTCAGCAATTGTGTACCCCACAGGTAAATCTTGTGGGACAGTGATGTTGCAGTCTACTCTCTCAAATAGAGGAATGTTGTCATTCAAATTGATAAGAGTTATGGTCACGGGGCATTCGCTGACCTGGCTAAAGGGGCTGCCGCTGTCTGAGGCCCAAACTCTCAGGTGATATCGCCGCTCCATTAACTCATAATCTAAATGTTCAGAGGTTGAGATAATGCCTGTAAATGGATCTATTGTGAAAGGTAAATGGTCTGAGTTTGCAATAGAATATGTCACAAGGCCATTTTTACCTTTATCAACATCTGAAGCTGTAACTTTAAGAACACTGGTGCCAACAGGGCTGTTTTCAGCTACTGTTTCCTGATAGGACGTCTGTTTGAACTGCGGGCTGTTGTCGTTTTCATCTTCTATTTTGACCACAATATGTGTCTCTGCTTCTCCATGATTGGCTATCACATCAAATTCAAATCGATTTTTTCTCTCGTAGTCAAATTTCTTTAACGTTACAATAGTCCCGGATTTTGGATTAATCTTGAAATTTGAACTGTCTGGATTACTTTTGATGCTAAACGTAACATTATTTTGAAAGGATGTGACAGATACTTTAACAACATGAGTTTTAGGAGGTGAAAACTCACTTAGGGTGATAATGTAAGTGTCCTCCAAAAATCCTAAAGGGGTGTAATGATTGGCCGGAATGTGGATTTGTGTAACTGGAGAGAGTAAATTTGGCAAACTCCCATCTTTAGCTTGAAGGGACAGGTTGAGACCAAAAGGACTTTGAGACCACACAATCCTCTTTGTAGATATCACTTGGAAATCAGTGCCTTGTACACCAAAAGGAACTACCTCAAAACATTTGAAGGGATCCCCAGCAACAATATTAAGAGATTCCACAGGCGTAACACCTGCTTCCACATGGACATTGATATCTACATTTCCATCTGCAGATACAACAGGTTCTAGAGGAGGTGTGATAACTGGAGTTCCCTTGAATGCATTTTGAATGTTTACTGTGACATGGGCAGAATTACCAAATTTCTGAATGCCTGATATTTTTTTCATCCTGTCCTCGGCTAAAACAGTAAGGTCGTATTTCTGCATCCGAGTATGATTGAGCTTTTTGACAAGGCTGACTGTACCAGTGAAAGGGTCCACCGCAAAAGGATGAACTCTGCTGGTGAAGGAGTAATAAAACTCAGCATTGTTCCCAATGTCTGCATCTGTGGCACTGACTCTGACCACAGTTGACTTCAGCGGAGTGTCCTCTCTGAGGTCCACGTTGTACGATGCAGGGTAGAACAGGGGCTTTAGGTCATTAGTGTCAAGCACATGGACAAACACCTTGGTTTTTGCCTGGATATCAAAAGTGCTTTCAGTTGCCTCCACAGTGAGAGTGTAACTATCTCTGACCTCCCTGTTGAGAAAAGCTGAGTTACTACTGCGAGTTTTAATCCTGAGAAAGCAGAAATCCCCAACTGATAGTGCTTCTGCTTGGAAAAACTCCTCCTCATCACCGGAAACGATGTTATATTTGACGTCCCACAGTGGGTCTGTGAGATGAATGCCCATCTTAACGAGTGACTCAACGTACATTCGTGGGGCAGAGTTTTCATTGATGGTGACATTGTAGAGATAGTGTGTGAAGCTTAATGAAGAGCCATCTTTCTCTTTTCCTATTGTCCTTTGACAGCTTGCCAGTTGGAGAAGAAATATCAGCAAAGTAAGTTGCGTTGATTTTGAAGCTGCCATCTTTATTACCTCCAGGCCAACATCCAACCTGTAAGATAAAAAAACAAAAAAAACAGAAGATACATTAATGCAATGTGGTATGCTGTAAATCAGGAACAAAAGAAGCCTTTAAGGGAAAACAATGGAGGTTTTAACTGATATCTGTATCAACTTGTACATCTGCACAAGAACAAATAATACACCTGTACTCACAACTAATACCCACACTATTGTGTATACACAGTACACAATCACACAGCACCTGAGGGAGGACTGAATCTGACTTGTCCCAACTTGTCCCTTAAAAAATAATAAAACAAGTAAAACTGCACACTGTTTCAGAACCAGCAAATTACCTTGAAGCCATTTCAGACAGGTGGAAGCCAGATCCTTTCCTCATAATTATTTCTTTGTGGAGTGAACACTAGTAACAAACAGTCTTCAAACTTATTACTTCTAAGCTTTTGCTTTGGCAGAGGTATAGGTAGGGATTTGAACACTGATGACTTGATATGCAGATGACAGCAGGTGGCTCAGCTCTGATCTGAAAGCAAACGGTTATCACGTGCACTGACTGCATTCGTAACTCCTGATCCGAGTCACCAAACTACTGCATTAGCACCATCTTACAAAGCCGTGGCCTGGCATTAAATCTGTGCTTTAATGATTTTTGCATGAATACATATTTAAATGGCCGTTTGCACTATGTTATTCTAAAAACAGACAATCCAAGTTTATACTAACAACAACAACAACATTGTGATGGACTGGAGACCTGTCCAGGGAGTACTCTGCGTTTTGCATAGTGATAGCTGGACATAGGCCCCAGTGACCCCCACGAACCGAAAAGGAAGAAGCGAGTAAAAAAAAAAAAAATGGATGGACGACGACGACTACAACAAGAATGGATGCTATGCTGCTGCAGTTCCACAGTTTTGGGTTTAGTTTCACTTTCAATTATTTTAATACCCTAAAGTGAGACACCAATTTTACAGCATTATACCACTGAACCTTATCTATATCATAACCCATATCCGTTGCATTTTGTAGTTGTTCCTACAATTACAAAACTGATGTTATCAAAACCATCAGAACTAGTACTTTGAGCGAAATGAAGATTTAGCATTCCCAAGTTTTGCTTAGTTTTTCTTTGTGACTATAAGTTTGCACACACACATACACAAAAAAAGTATATATATATATATATATATATATATATATATATATATGTATATATAATGTCCTTGAGCAAGACATCTAATCCCTAATTGCTTCCCGGGCACTCACATTGCTGCACACTGCTCCACCTGGGTGTATCTCATGTGTGACGGGATAAATGCAGAGAACTACGGTAATTTCGCCATTGTATGGGAGTATACAATGATGACAACGCATAGCACTTTTCTTTACTTTACGTCACACAGAGACATAAAGGACAGACAATAATGAATGTTTACACATACAAGGTTAATTTACAATTACTAATAAACCAAGCCTTGCATGTTTTTAGATTATAGGGTGCAGCCTAAATATTCAGAAAGAAAACATGCATGTGAAAATCATGCAAACATAAAGGCAGCTGCCACTTTATTGCTATGCGATGACAATATTATCCAACTGCATCACTGTGCAGCACAAAAGTATTTTTTCCCCCTAATGTCAATCAGACATCCTTAAAATCATCAGCTCTAAAATTAGACATGACACTGACTACTTGTCTCAATCAAACATACAGATATTATAACGTTAACATGATGAAAAGTTTAGGTTTGATTTTTTTTTTTTTTAACAGTCAGTAATGAGACTGCAAAAAATGTGCATTTGGCCATAATTCTTTCAGAAGTGACCTTTTCTAGCACTGTTTTAATTTGTGGCTTCTTTAATTTCAAACCTGAAGGATGAGGATAAGAGAATGAAAATCCATTTTCTTTCTTTTACTCACTTATCCATGCAGGGTCAAGGGGGAGCTAGAGTCTATAGCAGTCACTGGGTGAGTGGTAGGGTACGCTCTGGATAGACTACAATCTATCAAAGAACCATATAGGATCAAAGGAGACCAAAAAAAAAAGCACTTACGTTATCACCCACACCTAAATCAATTTAGTTACCACTTAACCTAGAATGCATGTTTTTAATTTGTCTGGTCTGTAGGAGGCAATCCAGAATACTCAGGACACACAAAGCTCGGGTGTACCCACTTAGAGAGGAGCTAAGATTTGAACCTGCAACAGGTCTATAACCACTGACTCACTGTATCACACACTCACTAAACAAATATATATTATGTTTGATATAATATCAACCTTTATTTATACAGGTAAATCCCATTGAGCCTCGAGGACTCATTTACAAGAGAGACCTGAATAGGTGCAGATCTTGAAACCTTGGACCCAGACTGAAATGTGTATCCTCAAATTCCTTTCAGAAAAAAAAAAAAAGCTGGAAAATTGGTATATTAAAAGTAAAACCTTGTAGCTCACTCTATCTTCCACTTGGGTGGTTCCATTTCACTTTAAACTCGGGTCCTTCACCAGAGTCCTGGGGGTATGAGGGTTCTGTTCAGTACTGTAGCTGTTCTTAGAACTGCACTCTTCTGGACAGAGGTCTCCGAGTGTGGTCCTGGAATCTGTTGGAGCCATTCTTCTAGTTTAGGGATCACAGCACCAAATGCTCCAATGACCACTGAGACTGGTGATGCTTTGACTCCCCACAACTTCTGCAATCCCGCTTTCAGCTAGCTGCTGGTTATTTGATGACTGGAACTGCATATGCTGATGGCTTGGACTTATTCTTACCATTCAGCTGACCCATCATGACCTGTCTTACTCTCTAACTCTATAACCATTAAAGTTCATGCTTATTTATCCAGGTGAAAAAAATCCAACAAAGTTACGTCAGGTCCTCTGGACAGTTTTGTTGTGTTTAAATATTTCGTCTTTCATCCATAAGACTTCATCAGTCCAAGGGGCCACAACAAACTCAGTCCCATAAGTAGAACACTCACACAGTTAGCCAACCAGTTTGAAGGTGATCAGATGGTTTCTGGAGCCCGCCCTCTCCCCTGTCAACTTCTTTAAGGCAGCCATGGTCAAAGTGGTTCAAAACATTAAAGTTCATGTTAAATAATCCAGGTAAAATAATCCAACAGAGTTAAGTCAGGTCCTCTGGATGGTTTCTTCGTATTGAAACTCTTCCACTTGCGTCGATTGCTCTACAAACATTTTTGTCCTCATGTTTACAAACTGTGCAAAATGACTGTAATATGTATAGGGTGCTGAAGTTTAGGATACAAGGCTCCAGGAAAACATCTAGAATTCCAGCTATTATAATAATAATAACAATAATATTTTCTCAAACGTTTGGCACCATTGTTAGACCATCAGACCATCAATGTGTGGAAAAACGTGAAAGAGGAGGACAAAGGATGTTTATAAATACCTGTGTCATACTTTATCAGAGGATTAATGTTGGCTTAGATAACAGTTCTTATACATGACATTTTGAGTGTGCAGGTTTGTGTCTCCAGGTAGACTGGCGCTGGTGGAAGTTTCAATGGAGGGAGACAGGTATGTTGGATTTTATCTCCATTCAATTGGTGTCAGGTGTTCAGATTACATCAGTCAGGGTGCTAGATGGATTTCAACACACATTCAAAGGATTTTGTAAACTCGCCGAGGGTGGGACATTTTACGTGTAAGACAATGTTCTTTTTTTAGGAAAAATGTGAAAGATGTTAATGGTTTTTTGTTAACTGCGCAAGCAGCATACTTTTCAAATTCATACTTTTGTATCAAATGTCATGCTAAAGTCCTTCTCGAGAATATGGATTAACAGGATTGTCATGATGATGTATGAAGAAATCTCTGATGTACTAATTACAGGTTGAAGAAGGATTTTGACTTCAGAAACATTTAATATTCTTATCTCTGTACACACACAGCAAATCCATGTAATTTGAAATCTAGGGATTAAATTCTTGGATGTGCTTAAGGGATCATTTCACAACGCAGAGAAACTTACTTTTTCCATTGAGTTACTGCTGTGAAATTTTGGTTATGTTTTATAAATGAATGCTTTTCTTTTCTCTCAGCATGGAATGATGATTAAAAAAGGGCAGAATGTAGCAAATACAATGAGCAGCATTGGAGACTCTAATTATAGTATAAAAGACAGCAGTGTTGGCTGTGCATACATGCAACATTTGGTTGAGACTATCTGCTAAGCTGAGGTTTGTTTTAAACTCACAATTCTTTCAGCTTTACAAAGAGGGCAGAGATGCAAAGTTGCAGCAATTTCATTTTAGAAGTACTTTTTGAGAGGAGTTATAAGTTTTAGTATGGTAGTTTCTATATGTGCGTGACATAGGTTGGACAATCCTGGTGAGAATTTGTAATTAAAAATCCAACAATGTTCAGTCAGGTCATCTGGACGGTTTCTTTTTTGTGCCGAGACATTCTGTCCATCATCCAGTGGACTTATTCAGTCTGTAGAACCACAACACAAAACTGATTCTCCGCCAACAGTATGTTCCAGAGTGGAAAAAAACAGTTATGTTGGTGCTAAGATGGCCTCTGGGGCCTGCCCTCCCCCGCGGGGCCCGCCCCCTCTGTCGTCGACAGTCATATCAAAGTGGGTCAAAACGTTGAACGAAACGTCTCAGCACAAAAATTAAACGTCCAAATGACCTGACTGTATATTGTGAATTTTATACCTGGATTATTGAGCATGAACTTTGGTATAATTAAACATGTTAACTGGGGAAGATCATCAGTCATCCAAGGGCATGATAAATCCAAAAAAGGTTAAAAACAAAACAAGTGGACTTTATTTTGGAACTGAAGACGTTTCACTTCTCATCCGAGGAGTTTTCTCAATTCAAAGACTGGAGAGTGTGGAGTTTGAGTTATAAGTTGTGGTGTTCTGTAACTAAATCCACATGCAGATTGCCCTCTCACTCCTCACAATAGAGATTTGTTAGGGTCTGTTAGTTTGACTCATATATGGGTCACTCTAGTCACATGAATGGAGCTCTTAATTGGAGTGAA